AAAAAAAAAAAAAAAAAAAAAAAAGACAAAAAAGAATGCAGAGAGCTTATGCACTGAGATGAAAAGATGACCTCAATTTATCATGCTGGAAAAACAAAATGCCAAAGATGATTTGCACACACACACACACAGCATGGCCCAAACCGCAGGGGAGGGAATTTATACTGAGATCTCTGCTACGCATCCATAATAACTAAACCAGGATATAATGAAGCGATTTACTAAAATGCCAGCACTTAGAGTAAGATGACTCCCAGACCCTCTCTAAAGGGCAGCTCCACCACCGATTCAAGCCCATGACCTGGCCCTTGAGCTGGAGAAGCCTCAATTCACTCTGGTTCTTTGCCTCCACGAGGTGGAACAATTCCTGTCATCAAAACTTCATAAGGAGAAAGAACGGCTTCCTAGGTCCTGAATGATCTCATCCCATCCAAAGCTCCCATGCCCCTGCTATGAGGCACGGTTGCCAGATAGTTTATCAGGCATGAATGTGGGATGCAGAGAAGAAAACAACGTGTACATCACCACTGCGCTGTGTCAAAATGTAATTTGGTGAGATGGGGGTGTCTTTAGTACTTGGTAATTTCTGAGGGTAAAAAAAAAAAAAACCTGGCCGTGCACGGTGGCTCACGCCTGTAATCCCAGCACTTTGGGAGGCCACGGCGAGCGGATCACGAGGTCAGAAGATCAAGACCATCCTGGCTAGCATGGTGAAACCCTGTCTCTACTAAAAATACAAAAAATTAGCCAGGCATGGTGGCGGGCGCCTGTAGTCCCAGCTACTCGGGAGGCTGAGGCAGGAGAGTGGCGGGAACCCAGAGGGTGGAGCTTGCAGTGAGTGGAGATCGCGCTGCTGTACTCCAGCCTGGGCTACAGAGCAAGACTCCATCTCAAAAGACAAAAAAACAAAACAAAACAAAAAACCCGTAAGTTAAGTTTCTTTTTCTCTTTCTTTTTTTGGTCTCACCCAAACCCGACACCCCCCAGTCCAGACCATCCTAAGCTACCAGACCAAAATCGGGTTAGTTGGGCTAAGAGCAGGCAGTACTGCTCTGTGTACCTCGCTGCATACTGGAGCCCCAAGTCCTTCAGAACCAAATGCCGCCCCGCCAGCAAATGGAGCGAGTGAAGTTCCTGCCACCACAGCGACAGACACAGAACAATAATGGAACTAACTGTGGGTTTTTTTCTCTCCAACAACAGGCCCCTTGATGGCAGAGTCACAAGGGGTGCATGTAAGCAACGACAGCAAAGGCAGAAACCAAGCTCCCTCCTGCCCACCAGGGCCCTCGCCCCCCAGCCCCCACTATCTCCACACCCTGGTTGTCAGGCACCGGCTCCTCTGCACCCCCTGGGGAAGCTGTCCCTTGTCCGTATTTTCAGTCAGGAACCACTGCTGTGTGCTCGTGGCTGTTGCTAACCGGCACTATTCTGGGCGTAGCAATTACTACAATTCCAACAGTAACTTTTTTTTCGAGACAGAGTTTTGGTCTTGTCACCTAGGCTGGAGTGCAGCGGCGCAATCCTGGCTCACAGCAACCTCCACCTTCCAGTTTCAAGCGATTCTCCTGCCTCAGCCTCCCAAGTAGCTGGGATTACAGGTGCCGGGCACCATGCCCGGCTAATTTTTGTATTATTTTTGCAGAGACGGGGTTTCACCATGTTGGCCAGGCTAGTCTTGAACTCCTGTCCTTATGATCCACCTGCCTCAGCCTCCCAAAGTGCTGGGATTACAGGCGTGAGCCGCCACACCCAGCCAACAGTAACTCTTTGTTTAATGTGTTTCCCCTCTGGACGGGGCTATCTCAGTAAATGAGACACCAAGCACTGTGACCACATAGTTGTGAACACACGAGTCATTTTCCACAAATGTGAACCTCCTGGCCCTCCCACGGAGTGCTGGGCAGACTTGATGGGGGCCCCTGACTCACCAGACAGGTTGATCTCGGTTAAGGAGTCTCGGGTGGTGGTGCCAACAGCGGTGAGCAGGTTGATGGACTGGTCGGTGACGTGGTTACAGTAACTGAGGTGGAGCTTGGAGAGCAGGGGCATGTGGCGGACGATGAGCCGCAGGGAGGCATCTGTGATGTCCAGGCCTGCCAGGCGCAGCTCCACGATGTTCCGGAGCTTGCTCCGATTGTCCATCTGACCTGGTGGGGCGGGAAGGAGGGGGCAACCCGTCAATCTGACCGAGGAGGCCTGGTCACACTGACATGACACTCTAAAAAGACCCACCAGCCAGACAGAACACTCAGATCTCATTTAGTTACAAACTGCTTCCTCCCAAAATCAGAATTCTAACAGTTAAAAATCAGACTCCACATCAAAACTTAGATTTCCAGATTCTCTTGAAAAACTAAAAGACCTAAACACTGAGCCCACATTCCACCCAGTAGTCATCCGCCAACCAGTGCAGAGGCCGCGCAGCACCTCCAATCCCTGTGACTTGGCAAGAAGCACAGACCTAGGCAGTCCAGTCCAGCCCAGGGGGAGGCGCCATCCTGGAAGCCCTTGCGTAACCACACTGATCCTGATGGCCATGGAGACTTGAAACCAACGAGGGGCAAGTCAACAGCAAAGCAGTGAGACGCATGCAGAGCCCCCATGAGTGAGTCAACAGGAAAGCAGTGAGACGCACACGGAGTCCCATGAGCGCGTCTCGCATGTGCACAGGAGCCCCTGCCTCCTCCCAGATCCCCTCTGTGCCTGAAGCAAACTGAGAACACGGCAGCAGAGACTCATCCCTATGTCCTCTGGGGAAGGGCTGGGGCCTGAGAACAATGGAGGACATGCTGGGGTCTGAGGGTAAAAGCAGATCCAACAGCCTAGCTCGGTCACCCCACCCCCACAGAAACCCCCAGCCTGGCAACTCACCTGGCCTGTTGTCCGTGGGCGGGGACAGGAGATCCCGCATCTGGGCATCCTTTAGTCCCTCCACCCACTGGACATCCAGAGTCCGGAGCAGCGGACAACTGGAGCTGCAAAGGGCCGAGACCGCGATCCATGAGCAGCCTGACAGCACCAAGTCCCGGAGCCCTGTGGGGGACACAGAAAAGGGTGAAGGTCAGGGGATGCGCCCCCAGCCCCCACTGCAGCAGACACACTCGGGGCCACTGGCCCAGGGCTCACCAGGCAGCCGGTTGATGAGCCAGCTCAGCTGCTTCTTGGAGATATTGGTCCAGCTGAGGTCGAGGGAGACAGGCTGTCGCCGGATGATGCCGCTCAGCATCAGGGGTGTGATAGACTTGCAGTGGTTCAGGTCAATGCGGGTCCACAACCGCTTATCGCAGCACCTGGGGACCAGCCGGGTGGGGACACATCGTCAGAGGTAGGGCTCCCTGGCAGCCCATGCACGGCTCTAACTCTCCCCACCTACCAACTTCTGGGAGGCTCCTTAACTCGGCGCTCTGGACCCTTCTCTGTGTGGCACCTGTCCCGCCCCGATGCAGGCACCTGCCATCTGCTCTGACAGCCATGGCCTCCAGTCTCCATCAATTATGTATGTATGTATGTATGTATGTATGTATTGAGACGGAGTCTCGCTCTGTTCCCAGACTGGTGTGTAGTGGTGCAATCTCTGCTCACCACCACCTTTGTCTCCCACATTCAAGCAATTCTCCTGCCTCAGCCTCCCGAGTAGCCAGGATTACAGGTCTGCACCACCACACCCGGCTAATTTTTGTATTTTTAGTAGAAATGGGGTTTCACCATGTTGGCCAGGCTGGTCTTGAACTCTTGACTTCAACTGATCCGCCCGTAAAGTGCTGGGATTACAGGCATGAGCCACTGCGCCAGGCCTCCCGCAAGTATTTACCATGGGCTTTACAACGCCCTCTACCGGCCGTTCTTCCAAACAACCCCATGAAGCAGGTCTCATGCCCGTTCATCCAAGAGGGGTAAGGCAGAGCTAAGGCTAGAAAGCTGGTAAATATCGGCTGGCCTGAAGTTGCAACTGGCAACCTTGCTGGAAACCTGGACTAACTCTCCGAAGCCAAGGACTTCACGTGGTCCTCACTTTACCCTCCAGGAAGCTAAATCAGGGAGTAAACCAGGTCACCTCCTCTAACAAGACCAGAGGGGCCACTGTAGCCAGCTGGAACGCTTTGCGGAGCACAGTGAAGCCATACTGGGGCTTGGAAGGAAAGAACATCGACTCCACACACACGGGCCATCCCTGGTGCTGCCTGAGCCTTAACCTAGAGCCCTAAGCAGGCTGCCGCTCACCAGCGGTTCCAGGTCCTGCAGACCCGCATGCAGACACACAGGTCTTGGTGGCTGAGGTAGCTGAAGACGGCCATCCACACCTCCCTGTGCATGACGTGGGCTGCCCCATCGTCCAGGGGTAGCGAGTCCGGCGGGGGGCTGATGGGGGGTGGCCGGATCACATGGCGCTCCATTTGGATACACTTGGGCGGGGACACGGAGGGTGGGGGCCGGGAGATGACACGGGGCGGGCTGCGCAGGCCGGGTCCCAGCTGGTGCCGCAGCTCCCGAGGGGTGCCGTTGAGCCCCTTGCTGAAGCGGTGGGGACGCTCGCAGATGCCTGGGGGCCGCTTGGGCTCCTCGCCCTCGCTCTCAGGCTCCGACTTGATGGGCTGCTGGTTCTCATTGGCCAGGCTGCTCTCCGTCCTCTGGATCTCGTGGTTGAGCTCCTTGCTCAGCTCCCTGCTCAGCTCCTTGTTGGGAAGCCGCCGCTTCCGGCGCATCTTCACCTTCTTCTTCTCCTCCGGGCCCTCGGTCCCCTCGGTGCTGGGTCCTGCGGTGGGGGAGCTGGAGCGGGAGTGGTCGCTCTCCCTGGTCTTTGGGGGTGCCTCGGGCAGATCGTCCTCGGGTTCCTGCTTGAAGCGCCGGAGGGGCTTGTTGGCCAGCGCCATGCGGTCCTCGGCGTTCTTCCAGGACCGACGCTGAGGGCGAGAGCGGAGACGCGTCAGCCTGTAGGGCTCAGGGCTGCGCCCACCCAAGGCCTCCCGCCCCCCTGCCACGGGACTGTGGCCCAGGGAGCTGCTGTGCAGCTCTAACCGCTCGGGCCTGGGGCACAGGGGGGACGGGAAGATGGTACCTTTTTCCTGAAAAGCTTATCTTCTTTGCCAGGTTTGAGCTGTCACGAAAAAGAAAGGACGCAGAGCTTGCTCCCCGGGCTCGTGGGATTTGGTCCCCTCGACACCCCACCCCACCATGAGTCCACAGTCTCTAGAGGAGGGGCTGGAGGGACGCCTTCCCCACAAATGCCATCTCCACGTCTGACCGACAGACGGGCGAGCCCTGCCTGCGGCTTTCAAGGAAGAAGCTGGAAGTAGTACGGTTGAACTGTTCCCACCCAACTGACCTCCCACCCCCCAGACCCGGAGATGTGCAGCCGCCATTCAAACAAGCCTCGGCTTTGGGAGCCAGTTCTGGAGCACAGCCCTGTGGGAATCCCCGGCCCAGCCGGAATGGCTAGAGCTGGGAGAGACTCCTGGCGCCACCTTGTGGCTGGTGACAGCATGGCCCGTGGGTGGAGCAGGGCCACCAGGCTCCTCAGAGGTTCCCTGGACTCACAGCTTCCATCCCAACCAACAGAGGCTCTAGTCACAGACAGCTTCCCAGGCCCGAAGCCAGAACCACGAGCCAGAGATCTGGGGCCGAGACCTGGGAAGCCTCAGGAGAGGCAGCAGTGGGGTGGAGGACCAACGGGGTGGGGTGGGGGACAGCCCGGGACTCGCCAGTCCCCAGGGCCTCAGGAGGGCGTGCGTCGTGGGAGCACCTGCTGCTGGAAGTAAGTGAGACTGGATCTCCACCAGGGGCTGAGGCTGCTGCCTAGAGGGGGCCTCGGCGAGAGGTGAGAGGAGGAACCGGGGGACGTTTGAAGCGATGAGGCCTAAAGGGGGGGGTGGGAAGAGGAGTGACTCGCTGGTTTTCCCCTCCTTTCCTTGGGGCAGGGCTCTCAGGACTTAGGTGACCTGGTCAGGGCAGCAAGAGGCTGGGATTATCCCAAGCTCTACTCGCTGCCCACCCCCTGCCCCGGCCTTCCAACCCAGCACCTAGGACCAGCCAGACCACCCCCTTTGTCTCTCAGCCCCTCCTGGTCCGTACCCGCTTGCGTCCACTCAGCTCCTGGGGCTTCTCGTATTTCCGCTTCTTCCTCAGGTGCACGTCATCAGACTTTCTGCGCAGGAGGCCGTCCGGTGGCACCTTCTTGGGGTGCTCGTCCGACCTGCGCCGGGGTGCCTCCTCACATTCGCTCCTCCGCTTGGCAGGTTCCTGCCCTTCCTTGTTGTCCCGGTTCATCTTCTGCTCCTTGAGCAGGGAGCCGGGCAGGTTGGAGGCGTACTTAAAGCCAGGGCCACGCTTTTGCTTGTAGGCCAAAAAGAGAGAAGGAACAGACCAACTGTATACCTTTGGACTTGCCCTTCCTCCTCCCCAGGCCCACGGCACCCCACCTGCCTGACACTCCTGGGACAGGCTGGTCCCAGCCAGGCCCAGGCCCGCCCCTCTCCCGACTGACCCTGGGACTTGGAGCCCGGCACTCACTTTCCCGGTCTTGCCGGCGTGGTTACACTTCGGACACTCCCAGCAGTTTGGAAGCTCGTCGTTGACCACACCCTCTGACTCCTTAATCTGCAGAGAACACCAGGACTCAGAAGAGGGACGAGGGGAGAAGAGGGCCCACAGGCACAAGGCTCTGTGAGGCCATGTCTTCCAGAAGCAGCAGCACCCCCTCCCCAGTGTCACGTCTATCCTGTTTCCAGCCAAAAGAAAACACAGCCGCAGAGGCTGGCAGAGACGGGCAACTGTGGATCCAGGCCAGGGTTCAGAGGCGGAGCCCTTTTGCTTCTCTGGGACCCTGGACAAGTCACTCTGTCTCTGTAGGCTGGTGCCCTCAGCCATAAAAGTTAGTGTGCCCATCTCACTGAGGGGTATGACCCAAGTAAAGCCACCAGCTCAGCGCCTGGCATGCAGAAAGGACTTTGCAGAGGACTCTACAGGGTGCTGAAGGAAGGAGTGGGGTGTGGGGCCTTGTTCTCCCAGAAGCCTGGAGCCACCTGGAGGCTCTCCCTCTGGTCCAGCTACAAACAAGCAGCCTGTGTTTGCCATCCGCTGAGACTCTGGGAACTCTTTCTGGTTCTGACGTCCTGGGACGTGGGGGTCTGTTTATTCCTTTAATGACACTGGGTCTCCAAGGTACTCCAGGCCCTCCTTGCTCTGGGCTTATCCCCCTGACACACAGGATCACCCAGACTCAGGGGTTCTCCAGGAATTCACCGCACGACCTGCATCCCACCACCTCACCAGCATCTCCAGCAACCCTACCTGCCCCACAGCGTCAGCATCACCTGTCCCCACTGGGCTGCTCACCTTAAGGCATCCGGGGTGGATGATTTCGTTGCAGATGGAGCACTCCATGAGCATGAGGTTAAACTTGCCTTCCTCCTCTTCCACCGTGTCTTCCTTCCCCGCCTCGCCACACACAAGGCACACGGCGGTGTGGGGGAGCACTGGCTGAGGAGCCAGGGAGAACAAGACAAGTCATCAGGGGTGGGAAGCATGGACCCCCAGGAGGGCCAGGTCAAGGGCAATGAGCTGCTCCCCTCGGACCTGCCAGGAGACCCCAGGAAAGTAGCCCAGGCACATTCACTCACTCATTCACTGAAATATGTATCAGGCTACTACCTCCGCATGCCAGATACTACTCTTAATTGCTGGGGATACAGCAAGGAACAAGACAGCTCAAAATCTCTGCCATCCAGAGCTTACATTTTAGTGGAGGGAGGCAGACAAAATGAAGAACAGAGCATGTTAGAGAGAGACATGGGGAAAAATTAGAGGGCTGGAGTGAGGGGCAGAAGGGGGGCTGATTTTAAATATGGAGATCAGGGAAGGCCTCACATTCATAAAAGATCCAAAGGAGCGGGGGCATGAACCCAGCCCAGATCCATGCAGATGAGATGAGGCTGCATCTCACCAGTGGGTATTCAAGGCACAGACCATGGACTGCGGGCTCCCAAGACCTTTACAGAGAGGCTAGGAGGTCAGAACTGTCTTCAGAATAACCAATGTTATTTGCCTTTTGCACAGTATTGATATTTGTACTGGTGGGTAAAACTGCTGGCCCCTCAGCACCAGTCAAGGCAAGGACCCCAGCTGCACCAGCAGCCATGAGGGGACTCACGGCCATACACTTATTAAAAAGATCCCCAGTTTCATCTAAGAATATCTCTGATGAAACAGTAAAAATTACTTTATGAAAACCCTGCCCTAGAGTACACATTCTTTTCAGATGCTTTGTGACAATAAGAATATGTGTAAAGTGCCTCGGCACACAGGTGATGCGTACCAAAGGAAAGGCACTCGTGACTGAGCTGGGAGCCGAAATGGCCACTTTCTCCATAGATTATTTTTACTTGAAGGAATGACTGATAGAAAGCCCCTGGACATTGGTGTATTTCTGTGAAGATCAAAGAAGTGAGCTTGTCATTTCCAGAAAAATAACTGACCGCATTTGTTGCAAATGACAAAATTCAAGTTTCTGAATGACAATTAGACTTCTGGAAAACTTACATGAACCACCATAACCTGCACAGCTTCCCAATACTGAGAGACTTTTCCGATGAGATCAGTGATCATATTAACAAATGTGATTTCTAAAATAATATTATGTGCCAATATTTGGAAAATCCGCCTAACTCAGGGAGCCAATATTTTCCAGATGACCAATACATGGTGTTACAACATCATGCCTGAGCAAATGAGCTACTCAAAGGGCAAGACAGGCTGAGGAAGTTCAATGTAACAGTGTGAACAGCTCACTGATACAGTTTCAGACTCCACGTTGCAACTAACCTGTAAAGAAAACTCTGCTGAGTTCTAGTTGAGGATCAGAGTATCCCCAATTATTAAAATACTCCTCCCTTTTCCAACTAGTATATATCTGTGTGAGGCCGAATTTTCCTCATACTCCCTCCAAAACAACATATCACAATAGACAAAACACAGAAGGAGATATGAAAATTCCAGGTCTTTTTTTTTTTTTTTTTGAGACGGAATCTTGCTCTGTCGCCCAGGCTGGAGTGCGGTGGCACAGTCTCGACTCATTGCAACCTCTGCCTTCTGGGTTCAAGCGATTCTCCTGCCTCAGCCTCCTGAGTAGCACAGGCGCCCGCCACCACACCCAGCTACTTTTTTGTATTTTTAGTAGAGACAGGGGCTTTCACCACGTTGGCAAGGCCGGTCTCGAACTCCTGATCTCGTGATCCACCTGCCTCAGCCTCCCAAAGTACTGGGATCACAGATGTGAACCACTGTGCCCGGCAAGTCCAAGCCCTTTCTAATGAACCAGACATAAAAGAGATTTACAAAAATATAAAACAATGCCATTATTCTTATTTTTGTTTTTGGAAAATGTAATTATTTCTCATAAAAATATGTTTCTTTTTTCTTATTTATTTTTGTGACAGTGTCTTGCTTTGTCGCCCAGTCTGGAGTGCAGTGACATGATCTTGGCTCACTGCAACCTCCGTCTGCCTCCTGGGTTCAGGCGATTCTCCCACCTCAACCTCCCAAGTAGCTGGGACTACAGGCATGCTGGGTAATTTTTGTCTTTTTAGTAGAGATGGGGTTTCACCATGTTGGCCAGGCTGGTCTCAAACTCCTGACCTCAAGTGATCCTCCCACCTCAGCCTCCCAAAGTGCTGGGATTGCACGCTTGAGCCACCGTGCCCGGCCAAAATATGTTATTTCTATTAACACGCCATGGGCTTTCTTGTTATTTTAAGATAAATTTAAAATCTAAAAAAAAATTTCTTGGCCAGGAGTGATAGCACATGTCTGTAATCCCAGCACTTTGGTAGGCCAAGGCAGGCACATTGCCTGAGTCCAGGAGTTTGAGACTAGCCTGGGCAATGTGGCAAAACCCTGTCTTTACAAAAAATACAAAGATCAGCTGGGCGTAGTGAATGCCTGCAGTCCCAGCTACTCGGGAGGCTGAGGTGGGAGGACTGTTTGAGCCCAGGAGGTAGAGGCTGCAGTGAACCACGAGTATACCACTGCACTCCAGCCAGGGTGACAGAGTGAGACTCTGTCTCAAAAAAAAAAAAAAAAAAAAAAAAAATCTTTTTTTTTTTTTAGCTAAAGTCCTCTCACACCAAACTCAGTTTAAATTTTTAATACAGTCAGTATTAATAAATATATAGCCTGCATAAAAGAAAAACTCTTTAGGGTCTTCATAATTTTTAAGAGCATGAAGGGTTCCTGAGACCCTGAAGTGTGAGAACTTGGTACACCCGGCTGTGAGCCCCCTGAGGCCAGGGCGGGTCAGCCTCATCCCGCCCAGTGCACCCGTAGCCAACCTTTATGACGCTACTCAGAGGAGCTTCAAGCAGGCTGGGAATATACGCGCCACTGGTAAGTGAAAAAGACTTGATTAAATGGTGCAAATGTCTGAATTCTAATAAACAGGACACAGAAGGCAAGGCAGTCATCGTTCCTTCCACAAATACCAAACACACATCTGCCACGGTCTGAAACAAAGTCTTGGGGGACGCAGGAGTGAGGGAGATGGCCGCTCCCCGTGAGCTATTTGGGAAGAAAAAGACATTAGTCGCTGAAATCCAAAGAAAACATGGAAAAGTCATATTCAAGAGTTCTCAAAAGCAGCAGAGGCTGATTTCTGGAGGACTCGGGACAGGGTGGAGAGAAGCCAAGTGGGCAAGGCCGCAGGGCCTCAAGGTGAATGAGGACAGAGCAGCCTGCGCAGAGCAGGCCGGGCCAAAGGGGACGGCTGGAGACCAGACTGAGTGGGGGGCAGAGGGTGAAGCACGGCCCACACGGCAAGAAGAGGGTCTGTGGTGGGGTGGGGCAGATGGCAGAACTGGCTCTAAGCCAGGTGGCAGGATGGGAGGTGGTGCAAGAGGCAAATCTCCTGCAGGGGCTGGGGAGGGGCTTGGGGCTCATGTTAGAGGGCAGACTGCACGGCACCAGCAGGGACACCAGCAGGGACATGGTGGAGAGGGGAGGAAGCTACGGAGGCAGCCCCAGCGACGGAGCAAAGGGAGGGGACAGAAGAGGAAGATAGGTGGGGCTGCGTATGTCATAGGTGGGTAATGCGTGAGAAGTGCCCTGGCAGAGCAGAAGGGCTGGGAGAAGAGTAAGAAGGACACCAAGGGTCAGGCCAAGCCTGCATCTGCCATCAGTTCCAGAAGCTATGTCAAGCTGAAGAGAGTAGGAGACATAAAAAAATGGGGTTTCCTTCAAACAGCATGCACTGTGCCAGGAACCAGAGTAGCAAAGATAAGGGGGCACCCGAGACAAGTTTCCTATAACCGGGCCCAGCACACGGGGAATGGGAGAAAAAGTAATGCCAAAGAGAAAAAGACAGTCGTGGATTCATTGCTGGCACAATTTGAGTTTTAGGTGACACCGTTCTAAAAACCAACAGTTGCTATAGACAAGCTCTTTTAAATTCTATAGGATCCAATGGGTCACATGGACCCTGTCTCCAAAAAATGTACATCCATGCATGCACACAGACAAAAATGCATTTAATTTCAGGATGGCTCACAAATTCCCCGAAATCCATGAAAATATCCTGGGGTTCGGGTACCAATTAAAAGCACAAGCAGTGAAACTGAACTTCTGCAGCAAAGGAAAGAATCAACAGAGGAAAAGGCAACCTACAGGATGGGAGAAAATCCTTGCAAACCAGAGACCTGATAAGGGTTAATATCCAAAACATATTTAGAACTCCTCTAACTCAACAACAAAAACCCCCAAAAGAAAACCGATTTAGGCCAGGTGCAGTGGCTCACACTTGTAATCCCAGAATTTTGGGAGGCCAAGGCGGGGGGCGGGGGTGGGGCGGTGATCAACTGAGGTCAGGGGTTTGAGACCACCCTGGTCAATAAAGTGAAACCCTGCCTCTACCAAAAACACAAAAATTAGCTGAATGTGGTGGTACGTGCCTGTAACCCCAGCTACCTGGGAGGCTGAGGCAGGATAATTGCTTGAACCCGGGAGGCAGAGGTTGCAGTGAGCCGAGACTGCGCCATCGCACTCTAGCCTGGGCAAAAGAGTGAGACTCTCAAAAAAAGAAAAGAAAACCAGTGTAAAAACAGTCTGAGGACTCAGACATTTCTCCAAAGAAGACAGACAAACAGCCAATAAGCACTTGAAAGGTGAAAGATGCTCAACATCACTAGGCATTAGGGAAAAATAAATAAAAACTACACTGAGATGTCACCTCATACATATTAGGATGGCTACTAAAAACAAACAAACTAAAAGCCCATAACATAACAGATGTTGATGGGGATGCAGAGAAACAGGAACCTTCGCCGGGCGCAGTGGCTCAAGCCTGTAATCCCAGCACTTTGGGAGGCCGAGGTGGGTGGCTCACAAGGTCATGAGATCGAGACCATCCTGGCCAACATGGTGAAACCCCGTCTCTATTAAAAATACAAAAAATTAGCCAGGCGTGGTGGTAGGCGCCCAGCTACTCGGGAGGCTGAGGCCGGAGAACGGCGTGAACCCGGGAGGCAGAGCTTGCAGTGAGCCGAGATCACACCACTGCACTCCAGCCTGGGCAACAGAGCAAGACTCCGTCTCAAAAAAAAAAAAAAAAAGAGAGAGAAACAGGAACCTTCACGCACCCGTGGTGGGAATGTGAAACGGCACGGCCACAGTGGCCAACAGTACAGAGGTTCCTCAAAAAGCTAAAAATAGAATCATCATATGACCCAGCAAGCCCACTTCTGGGCACGGAGTTGGCCCTTACACAGCACAGGATTGAACTGTGTGGGTTCACTTATATGCGGATTTTTTTTTCAATATAAGTTATACTGAGTGTGCCTGCATCTCCTGCCTCCCCTTTCTACCTCCTTCATCTCTTCTGCCTCTGCCACCCTGAGACAGCAAGACCAACCCCTCCTCCTCTGTCTACACAATGTGAAGATAATGAACATGAAGACCTTTACGATGATCCACTCCCACTTAATGAACGATCAATATATTTTCCTAATGATCTTAGTATTTTCTTTTCTCTAGCTTACTTTATTGTGAGAATACAGTATATAATACATATAACATAAAATATGTGTTAATGGACTGTTTTTGTTACTGATAAGGCTTCTGGTCAACAAGAGGCTAACAGTAGTTAAGTTTTAGGGGAGTCAAAAGTTACACTCAGATTTTCAACTGCACAGGGGTCAGGTGGTGCCCCAACCCTTGTGTTGTTCCAAGGTTCAACTGTATATCCAGAAGAATTCAAAACACGATCTCAAAGAGGTATCTGCCCACCGATGTTCACTGCAGCACTATTCACAATAGGCAACAGGTGAAAGCAACCCATACGTCCATCAACAGATGAACGGATAAAGAAAATTTTGGTCCGGCGCGGTGGCTCACGCCTATAATCCCAGCACTCTTGGAGGCCAAGGTGGGCGGATCACCTGAGGTCAGGAGTTCGAGACCAGCCTGGCCAACATGATGAAGCCCTGTACTAAAAATTTAAAAATTAGCCCGATGTGGTGGCGGGTGCCTGTAATCCAGCTACTCAGGAGACTGAGGCAGGAGAATTGCTTGAACCCAGGAGGCAGAGGTTGTAGTAAGCCAAAATTCCACCGCTGCACTCCAGCCTGGGCGACAGAGTGAGACTCCATCTCAGAAAAAAAAAAGAAAATTTGGTGCAAATACACAATAGAGTATTAATTGGCCATTAAAAAAAAAAAAAAAGGAAATTGTCATATGCTTCAACATGGATGAACCCTGAGGACATTATGCTCAGGGCTATAAACAAGCCAATCCAATCACAGAAAGCCAATTACTGCATGATTCCACCTCTATGAGGTCCGGAGAGGAGTCAAGCTCTTAGAAACTGAAAGTGGAATGGTGGTCGCCCGGGGCTGAGGGAGGGGAAAGGAGAGTAGAGCTTCAATGGGTATGCAGTTTCAGTTTTGCAAAATGAAAAAGTTCTAGGGATCAGCTTCCCAAAAACGTGCATATGATAATACTACTGTATTGCATACTTAAAAATGATTAATGTATTTTTTTACCACAATTTAAAAAAACAAAACACAAGAAATATGCGTGGAAGGAGATGGGTGAGGTGTCTGGGCCTGGGGGGCATCGGCAGCCAAGGAGGAAGGGCTCACCCTATGCCAGGCTGGGCCCGTAGATGAGCGCACCAAGGCCGAGGAATCCCGTCCCTCCAGCCGAGCCTGCTTTTCCACGGGGACTGGGAGACGACTCCTCCACAGGGAGGATCACCGGCCCCCGGGGAGCAGCGCCCTGGGGAAGGCAGAGCATGTGGGTGTGTACAAGGCGATTCAAGGGCAAACCCCGCGACCTCGCCCCGTTGCGGAAGTCCACGTCCACTGCCCGGTCCGGGTACAAGACCAGCGGCGCGGGGCCACTGCTGGAGCTGAGGCCAGGCGGTGTGGAGGGGCAGGCCAGGCTCTCCCAGGCGCGGTTCCTCGGCACCATAAATCACTCCTTGTTGGGGGCAGCCCCCTGAGATGGGGCGCTGACCTTCCACCCAGACTTCTGACTCTGAAGGCAGGGCCGGGAGGAAGGAAGGGTCCAGAACCATCACCAACTGCACCGTAATGTTGGCAACGGGGTCACAGACAGGACAGGCTGCTTGTCATCTTTAATGGCAGCAACTTCAAAGTACCTGGGCACCCTGGGAGGGAAGGAGCAGGAGGCCTGAGCCTGCAAAGCGGCCGGCGCCTTCCCGTCCACAGGAAAAGCTCTCGGGCAGTCCACAGCCCCGGCTTCTCTGTGTGCGGAGGGGCGGCCAGAGCGAGCAGCTGTCAGACACGCGGGCCGGCACGCAGGGGCCTGGATCGAGCGCAGGGCTGGACCGGGGCTGCACTCACCGCGATGCACTGCCGCATGATGCAGCTCTGCTTCATGCGCCCGGGGCCCCCGAACTTCTTCATGTCCTTGCAGAAGTGGCACTCTCCGCACTCGGTCCGCAGGCAGGCCTCGCACTTGCGGCATCGCGTCCGGCGCCGCCGAGCTCCTGCCGTTGTCCGGTTGGCGGCCAACTTCACCGCGGAGGCCGGGCCCAGCTTCCCCTTGGGCCGACCCACAGCCCGGTTCTGCAGGGGAACAGACAGAACTGGTCAGATGGGGAGGCTGCAGGCACCGCCAGACCCCCGGAAAGGGTATTAGGGAGCAAACTGTGTATCCCAGAAAGACACGATGGGGGCTCTAAACCCCAAGCCTCAGAGTGTGATCTTTATTTGCAGATGGGGGCTTTGCAGAGACCGTCAGGTTAAACGAGGTAATTCAGGTGAACGCTAATCCAGTATGACTGGTGTCCTTACGAAAGGGGGCCATTTGGACATAGAGATGGACACGCACGGAGTGAACGTGTGTGAAGACACTGGCCTTCCACAGACTGGAGCCCTGTCTACAAGCCAGTAAGTGCCAAGGATGGCAGCACACACCAGGAGCTCGAGGCGCGGGGAAGGACCCTCCCCTAGAGCCCGCAAAGCCAGCCCCGCCCGCCAGCCCACACCTTGACTTCAGACTCCTGGCCTCCAGAACTGGGAGAGAAGAAAGGCCCGTTGTTTTAAGCCACCGGTTATAGCAGCTCTAGGAGAGGAGGACAGAGGGTGCATGCTTCTTGCCACAGCACACCGCTCGAGACCTTCCACGGCCGCACCCACAGGCTCGGACCCTGCCCACCTTTCCCACCTCTGTCTGCTCTCCAAGAAAGACCACAAGGGGTCACACAATCGGTCTCTGTTCTCCCAGCCCGGAAGGCCAACCCCACCCCGCCAAGCCACTTGGCTGATGCCCATTCATCCCGCCTGGCCAGTTTACAGGCTGCTTTCTTCTGGAAGCCCCTCCTGCCCACCTGCACTGGGTTCAGGGCCCCTCCCAGGGATCCTGTTAGAGCGCTCATGACGGTAATCACCTGTTCCTGTACCGTCCTTCCCTTTGAGACGGGGCACAGAGGGGCACTCACCACAGGTGTCTTGTCCAACACTGCACCTCTGCGAACCAGCCTGGCATCCAGAATGCACTCAACAAACCAAAGCCACCCCAGGGAGGATAGGATAGTAACCTTCAGGTCCCTGACTACTCAGACCTTCCCTAGATGGGTTCCAAATGCTCCCTTCCCTGGGACTCAGAGAAGAGAGACAGTAGGTAGACAGGAGAGCTGGGCTAGTAGCTAAGCCAGGAAAATGGGACAGTCACAGCCCCTGACCTCTGGTTCCCAGCCCCAGAGCCTCCTGCAGACCCAGGATCTACGGGGGAGCCCAAAGCTAGCTCCTGAGGACACTGTCCACCTTGGACCTGCGGTGGGAGGGACAAGGATGGGAGAGCTTTTCTTGTCTGTGGCATCTTTCTGGAGAGGCCGGGGTGGCTGAGAAACGGTGAAGTCCCTAACAGGGAGACACGTGGTCACCTTGGAAACCAGCTGACCTAACCGGCATCTAACACCTAAAGCCCCTTTACAGCTAATTGAACACACTTTGGTCTAGAGTCCCGCCCTCTTCATTTCAGTGACTTGTCATACTTGAATCCCCAAACAAAACCCCATACTTTTGGGAGCACACAGTCCCAGAAGAGCTGTTACTATTCATCCACTCCAATGGAGAAGAAGGTCCACATCACACGGACCCCCTCCCACAACACACCCAACTCCCTGCACCTTAGGGGCTTCCTAGAAACTTCCAACTGCATAGGAAGAAAAACAGCCCCCCTTTCTCCTCGAATATAGCCTCGCCACCACCAACTTTCTTCTCCAGCGCAGTGGTCCCTGTAGAAAGCCCATAGCCTCACATGCCACCCCTTTGCTATCAACACCTAAGCAGATCCATTCCTCCGATTCACCTTCCTGCAGCATTCAAGGAGCTTCGAGGCCCCCATCAGCCTGAGTGGCCCTTCAGGAAGCACTGGGACTCTGGGCCTCCATCCTGCTCAACCTGCTGTGAACCCAAAAGAGGAAAGGGAAGTGCTCCCTGGCTCTACCACCGTCATCTCCCACTGCTCATCCCCAGCTGCTCAGGACCCTCACTCATGCCTGCCCTCTGCTTTGGGGCAGTCCAGCCGGAGGCCTTGTCACAGGGAGGGCAAGCCCTGGACTGCAGGGCTGACTGCAGGGTCGCCCACAGACAAGCTGGCCACCACCAGCCACCTGGGTAAAGGGACCATCCAAAGCAGCAAAGGGCGCCAGGCACAGTGGCTCATGCCTGTAACCCCAGCACACTGGGGGGCTGAGGTGGGAGCATCACTTGAGGTCAGGAGTTCATCACCAGCCTGGGCAACACAGTGAGACCTACAAAAAACTTTAAAAATTAGTCGGGCATGGTGGTGTGCACCTGTAGATCCAGCTACTCAGAAGGCTGAGGTGGGAGGATTGCTTGAGCCCAGGAGTTTGAGGTGGCAGTGAGCTGTGATCATCCACTGTACTCCAGCCTAGGACACAGAGCAAGACCCTGTCTCAAAAAACAAAGAAAATGAAGAAACCCATCCTTACAATGATGGCTGGGTGCCCCCAACATATTCGCATAGTCCCACTGTGATTAGCACCTTTGGGGGGTCAAGTCCACCAAGCACTGCGCACGTCCATCCAACTCAGGTCTGGCTGCCCACGTGAGAAGTAAAACAAGATCAGTTTTCAGAGCTTTCTGGATTTGAGAACGGCACAGAGCAGACTGTGAACCTGAAGCTAAGCAACCGACAGAGAGCAGCCAAGGCCAGGCAAGGCAGCACTGACGACCGAGATGACGGCCATGCTGCGTGAGGGTGGGCATTCCCTGAGCACCCCCATCTGTGGTCACCATGGCCATCATTTACTGATGTTATTACCTAACCTTCCCAGTAACAGCCCTGTAGAGGATGCCTTCATGTCCCCATTTTTCATATGAGGAAACTGAAGCCAGTAATTTGCCTATGGTCATGGAACCAGCAGGATGCGTGGACTCCAGATTCGTGCTCTGAACACACTAAACCACAGCAACTGCACGTGCAAAGTGCAGCGAGGGGCCCGCAGACCCACTGGGATGGCCACATGCTCCTGGAAGGGCTTCCCAGCTAGTGCCACCATGCCTTAGTGTGAAGGGTGCCAACAAGAGGTGCAGAGAAGCACAGCTACTTCCAGAGAAGCAGAAAGCCAAAAACGTTTCTCCCTGTCGTCACAGCCCACAGTAACACTTTCTGATTCTACCCCTCCAAAGGACAGGTGCCCTGTTACCAGCTCACTCCTCAAATACCTGGAACACAGGCAATGCTGTGGGCGGCGTCTGAGGCCTCCAGTCAGGTGTGAAGTGGCCAGTGTGAAGTGGCCACCTCCTAGGACAAAACCAGACCCCCCAGAGCCAGAGTCTAAAGACGAGCTTCTCTGGCGAAAAAACTGAAAAAATTCCAGGAGTTCAAAGGAACACCAGGTATCAACAGCCACCGAGCACCTCTGGCCTCCCTGCCCCGAGGACAGTGTCTGGGCAAGTAAAAACGCTGGGCCAATCCAGTCTGAGTCTTGAAGCTCCTATGTCACTGCAAAACAAGCCCATTTGCCTGCACCATCCAAAGCACCTTCTCATCCAACCTATGGAAAACAACCTGCATGGACCTCAGCAGCAGCTGGGACATCCGGGAAAATTACAGAGCACATACCAGATAACATCCCGAAAGAAGAGGTGTGAGAAGCTGTGGTCTCCCGAGACCTTGATGAGGCCCTGTCTAGCCGCTGCCAAATCAGGCCAGGAAGGCTTGTGCCGCCGGCAGTGGCCCCCGCCTGGCTCGTCAAGAGTTGGCTCAGCGACAGGGCGCCAGATCCTAATGAAGCCCACTGAAAAACCCACAGGTAAGACAGACCTCGGAGGCCTCCATTAAAAAGTCCAACTGGGACTCTGCAGACCCAACCAGGAAACGTGATGGCAGAGTACAGAAAACAGTGACACAAAAAGGGGCAAATGGAATAAAAAGGAAGGTGAGTCAGCCAGAGCTGTCTCCTTTTGGCACACAGCTTTCCTCTGTCTTGGTATCTTTTGGGTGCTACCCAAAGTTTCAAATGCCAATTCTTTTTTTTTTTTTTTTGAGACAGAGTCTCACTCTGTCACCCAGGCTGGAGTGTAGTGGCGGGATCTTGGCTCACTGTAACCTCTGGCTCCCGGGTTCAAGCAATTCTTGTGCTTCAGCCTCCCGAATAGCTGGAATTACAGGTGTGCACCACCAAGCCCAGCTAATTTTTGTATTTTTAGTAGAGATAGTGTTTCATCATGTTGGCCAGGCTGGTCTCAAACTCCTGGCCTCAAGTGATCTGCCCGCCTCAGCCTCCCAAAGTGCTGGCATTACAGGCATGAGTCACTGTGCCTGGCCTCAAACACCAATTCTAACTTCCACTCTAGGACAGAGTAGGAGTAGGACACCCCTGTCCCAGCAAAGGAAGTGACGGCATCCCCAGACATTCATTTACGAACCAACATCCCCAACACCAAGGCCACTTGTTGATTTTATCAGCCCAGGAACCATATCCTCAACACACTATAAAAGGTTAGGAAAATCTGGAACATGAACGCACACATACACACACAACACACAAATATCTTAGTATTCCTACACCCTTCTCCATCAGCAACTCAAAAGCATCGTCCTTTAAGTGAATGTTATCAAGGTTTATTCATTCATCCCATCGATATTTGAGTTCCTCTGGTCTACCAGATACTATCCACCATAAAATGCATGGGTAGAACCTCCTCAATCCCTAGCTCTAAATTATAGTGATTAAAATTACTTGGATTAACCTAAATTAAAGGAAAGACATCCATGTTCACGAATTGGAA